GATTATTGGTGATGAGTGATGACAAAGGTCTAGTTGAAAATTCGATTAGTCTATTCCAAGAGAATGAAATTAATTTAACATTTAACTGAGATGCGTAAAGAAAATAAATTGTAAATATCATAGTAATTATACAACTATGCAGTTAGCAACTTGCAGAAAGGTTGATTTGGATGTAATATACATACAATTATAATTATTAGTTTGTAAACTTATTACATGCCCAGAAACACAAGTTTATAGCTTCAAATTTTGTCCATTGCCTTCAATGACAAATTTTAGTTTTCAAGTTTTGCGTCATTAACAGTGAGTAGCAAAAAATCTTTTACTTTTCATCATGCTCTTTTTGCATTTGTGTGTGTTTTTTAACAATTCGGTTTCCTGCTCTATACATTTAATAATTATTGGAGGCTGCTTGGAAATAATTATTTTTTTATTTTCACTAACTTGCTGTTAGGTTTTTGAATTTAAAAATATCCATTTGATCTTGTGCTACAATTATACACATCACTCACAAACTGGATTTCATTTCTTATTAAACTTTTAATAATGGACAAAAATGTGTAGCTAGCTTTTGTTTGACATTGTTGTGCGTCCTCTCTTTACAATCCAGAAGAATTGGCATGTGGAGTAGAGATTTTTTAACAACAAAGATGTATGTGAAATGCATTTTTTTTTTTTGCGCATTGAAGTTTTTTAATTATGTTAGGACTGTTTAATAAATTTTAAACTTAACCTCAACCATGAATTAAATTAATTTTAAATGATTTAAATTTTCTTACTAAATCCAACTCATCTTCATCGATCAGAGATATGAAGTGTGGAGTTTTTGGAGACCTCGGTATGTCCATGATTTGCCTGCGAAAAAAGAATATAAATACAAAAAATTTAATTTAAGTTTTATCAATTACTAGCATCTCTTATCGATCCTGGTTAAATCAACAAAATTATTGAAGGGCCACTTTCTAATTTTAGCTATATAAATATATTTTATCTTTCTTCATTGCCTCTACTTTTCCCATAATTTAACTATTGTGTATGTTTTAACAACAAAAGGAGAAAAAGCAAATATTTAATGTTAGAATTCCTTAAATTATCAGATTTAATTATTGCAGACGCCTACAATTGCAAAATAAGTTAAAAGGAATTTGTGTTAAAAGTTATCCCCCTGTTTTTTGATGTGCACAGCAACAAAAATTTCATTTTTGATGCTGAAATTTTCGTTCAATATCTGATGATGTTGCGCAGGCCATAAATCGGATCATAATAATTATGGACTCCAGCTCATCTTTAATTTTCTTTGAGAAAATAAAAATTGCATTAAATGATCCGATTCCAAAATAAATCTCTCTCTTCATGCAGTTAAAAAAATGCTTGGGCCAGAGCTAAATTTCCGACCAAGACAAATGCAAAATTAGATAGATCAACAACAACTCACCTGAACTTCTTTCGCTTGAGCAGAGGAGAGAATAATGTGATCTGGAGCAAACAGGAGAGCCCTTTAAGTTATTTATTTTCACACAAAGTACCTGCTTTAGGCGGGGACGCAGAGAACCCCAACCGGCTCCTGGCGTTACAGACAGATATTGTAAATGCAAAATCATGTGTCGCCATTTGCACAATCAGTAAACGGGTGTGGAGATGTGACAAATTTCACGGCTTTTTTCTCTTGCGTCATTTTATTTACGAGCACAAATCGCGCACGTCATGATAGGTATAGATTTGAAATTTGTCTAAAAGTATCTAATTATTTAAATTTTTACATGCTAAACATTTACGTATATTTTATAAAACCGAACAAAACTGAGGAAAAGTAAAATTTGGCGGGGCGCGCACGGGAATATTTCCGGACTGTAGACAAAAATCTGCGTGCAATCTTATTATTAAATAATATTTAAGAAAATAAATAGTTTATTAATACATTTCTTTAAGTTTCTCAGCCATGCAAAACTAAAATATTGTCCTGGTGTTTTCTGGACTATTTTCTTTTTATAGGAACAAAATCAAATTTTTCCAGTTAAAAATAAGTTTTTTTAACTCAAATTTTATTTCAATGCAGTATTTTAATAAAAATAATTTCAAATTAATTAATCAATTGTTATTTATATTAACTAAACCCATTTTTAGGGCACGCAAAAGTTCAATAATACCAATTATTTTCTGCAAATATTTTTTCCATTTTATATAATGATAAAAATGCATCTTGATAACATATTTGCAAATAATTAATGCATTCAAAATTTGGCAAAATTTAATCAAAAGCGGAGCAATTAAAAAATTTCTCTTGCTGCAAGAAGTTGATCAAAGCCACTGCTGACGCCAATGTTTTTTTTTTATATGTCAGTGTTTTTTCTTTTACTTAAAATTAGCCGCAGCGCCTTAAGAAATTAAATAACAAGTATAGCCTGATGTGACGTAAATTAGAGGTTTGATCACATGAAAATTTCGACGAAAATATCACGAGAGTCGTCAATTTCACAACTGATTTATTTTTAGATCAAGCTTACAACTTCATTTGAATTCAATTACATGACGGGCGCGCGAATTATGTCATTGAAAGGTTTTTCACTTTTAAATTTGTAAGATACGATGCTTTTTTTTCATTTAATTGCAAATTGTGTTTAATCGATCTATCACAAAGGCAATTGCTGCCCATAATGGGATACATCATTTATACATTCAAAATTATACAAATAAATATAATTAAGAGATAAGATGAAAATTGTGCATACAAAGTTTTACAATTACATAAACAAAGAAAAATAACAATAATCAAGTTGTTTCTTCTTTTTTTCTGGGCGCTGAAAGCTTTAGCTTGCATTTAGATGACTGCCTGATCTTCCGAATGCCGCTTTCTTCTGTTTTCATTTACTCTTACTCCTGGCAAAAATCTGCAGCTTTAATTATGATTAATAAAACAGGCTTTTTTCGTCATTTAATACCCCATATAATAAAATGACAATCTTGTTCATTTAGAAATACAATGTGTGCATTTTTTTTTTCACTAATTATCGTTTAAAATTCGTGGACTGCAAGAATTAAAGGCATTTTCTCCAACGACCTGAATTAATTTTAGCTGGAATTTACACCACCAATGTGCTTTGGGCTTTCCCTATTTTTCCCTCATTTACGATACATTTTTGCGGTGATTGCATAAATGAGACCGGCACACGTGGAAATTTGAGGTAAATAATTGAAATTGAAATGAGGGCATTCATAAAAAAAAAATGGTGATCACACAAAAAGCAAATAAGCTCACTCCATAATACGGCCTAGGTCCACGTGATTTTCTTGCCGTCGCGCTTTAAAAAAGAAATGGTAGAGCGGTGAAAAAAAAAGGATTCCTGTTTAATATAGACTTGTCAGAGCTATATTTAGCTTCCATTTTGAGTTTAATGTTATGTCGTTATAATTATGGCGAAATTTTATTTAAGGATTATAATAGTTTTTTAGGTCATATTAAAAATTTAATTAAATTTCATCTCTGCAGTAAATAATTAGATTTTTTATGCTTGAAGTGAATTGCTTGAAAGCAAATTTTTTAATTCAATCGCCGTACAACCATTTTTATTGAGAAATGTGTAAAAAAAATACAAAATAAAGAAGAAAATTTAAGTTAAAAATTATTCTTAATTTTTAAATGGAAGTTTCTCAAACTTTCTTAAGTCAAACAAACTCTTTTGTTGACCGATGACCTTTTGTAACCATTTATTCTCCACAATTATGGTGCTATAATTATTACCGTTGTTTTTTTTTCGCACTTCACTCTCATCTATGATGGGGGGAAAACACTTTAAATTTTATTATAATGCGTGATAATGCGCTCAAAATTTAATTTCAATTCATATCATTGTCTATCACTGACTAACACTGAATGAAAAAAAACTAGTTTAATTAATGTAAACTCATTTTATTCTCTTATTAATTTATTTTAATAGTAGCCATTTAAATCACTATATTTTTATTTAATTTATTTATTATATATTCATAACCCATCCCTAAACTTTGAGCGAAAATTTATTTCTGTCTAATGTTTTGTAAAATTTTCTATCCTCTATTGAAATTTTGATCATATCTCAGTGTTTTGAATAAAATACATGGAGTCTGAGTGATCCTGTTTTAGTTTTCGTTAATATGCAAGTGTTCGTGGCCACATTATTTTTTTGTTATTGCAGTTCTATCAAGATTTCGGTTCTCAAAGTAGTCCATCTGTGACGTCCGCAAAATCATCGGAAATTCAAATTGCGGCGGCTCGCCGTCTGTGTTTTCTTCTCCTCTCTAATTCTCGGGGAGCGAAATAACGTTCGCGTTATTGGCACTGCTGGCCCATTGACATGGATCCCATTTCTCTTCCGTAATCTCGCCGAAGTGGATATTTGAATAATATTGTTTAACTGCCCCCACAGAAGAAAACAAAACACACATGAGTTATCAGTGACCTACTTTGAATAATGTATATATTGATTTCTATATAGATTTATGCTCACTTGAAGAGATTAAACAAAATGATATTTAAATTATAAGCTTCTATGAAACCAGCACTTTTATTTGATCAAATTTCAATGTTTTTACTCATGTGGCATTCGTGAAAGTATATAAAGAAAATTAAAATCAATCAAAGAAAGGAACACTCCCCTGTCATTCTAGACACTCTAATTAAAAAAGAAAATTTTAATGTTAAAAAAAAATATATTAATTGTTATAAATAATTTTTAACAAAACAGTAATTTTATTTCCAAAGAATCCAAATGAATGATCCATTGTAAAAAGAAATGAGTTTTAAGAAGAAAAAATATTTTACTGTAAAGAGATTTTTTACTTTATTTAGCAAAATTTGGATTTTTTTAAATTAGTTTTATTTGTTTTCGCGACGTTTCAGAGTAATTTGAAGGAAACATTTAGTTTATATTCAGTTTTTTTTTTAATTTATCATTATCAATTTAAGTGAGACTGCTTGTTTGCATTCAATATTAATTGATTCTAATCACTGATTGACCCCACAGTGGCTTCGGGGTCAACAAGGACTCTGTGTTGTCAAACGGAAATTCAACCAGTGCAACTTCTTTACTCATACCAGAATGTCGACTGTTTTCCTCCGAATTGTTATTTTCAGTTTGACCTTTTTGAATTCAGTATTAAAAATTTATGGCCGGCCGGACAACATAATTCTCATTTTGACGGACGATCAAGATTTAGTGAAAACAGGCTTTGTATGTATCGGTCTCTAATTTTAACGCAATTCATATTCAAATTAAATTTTCAAATCAGATTTCTTTACCAATGACACGTTATTTGATTGGAGAGCACGGAAGTACATTCACGAACGCGGTACTAAAATTGCAGTGTATATTTTTTTCCAAAATTTATTTAAATTCATTACAGTTTGCGACGACCCCAGTTTGCTGCCCAAGCCGCTCTTCAATTCTAACCGGTCGTTATTTGCACAATCACGGTGTTTTGAACAATTCGTTGTCTGGTGGGTGCGCATCTGAGGCGTGGACGGAAAATCACGAAGACAACGGGACGTTTGCTGTCCACCTAAAAAATCGGGGATACAACACGTTTTACGCTGGGAAGTACTTAAATCAAGTAAAAAATATAATTCAACTGCATTTTTTAGATTAAAAATTAAATTTATGCTTTAAAAATATCAACAAAAGACAAATTTTTTAGCAATAATAAAATAACATAAAATAGAAGTTATAACTTTTTTGGAAAATGAAATGAATATTGAATTGGTTGAATAATATATTTTAACAATTCTTTTAATAACAATTAAGTGGTAAAATTATTTTTTAAATGAAATTACAGTACGGTAAGAATGGTCCTGCCGTACCAAAAGGTTGGGACTGGTGGATGGGCCTTGAGGGCAACTCTCGCTACCAAAACTACACCCTTTCCGTGAACGGCACCTGGCGCGATTACGCCGATCGCCCTGACGATTACCTTACTGACGTCATGGCCAAAAGTGCGTTAGAATTTCTGAATCAGGGCCACGTCCGAAGTGAGCCCTTTCTGATGGTCCTCGCCACCCCCGCCGCCCACGACCCTTTCACCCCTGCCGAAAGATACAAGGATCGTTTCGAGCACGTCAGAGTGCCCAAGGGAAAGGATTTTAATTTGCACAACCAGGTCCCGTCGTATTTTAAATTTAAACATTTTTTTTTTAATTTCATTATTTTTAGGGGAAACATTGGATTGTTCAAAATATGCCGCCTCACACTTTATCAGACGAAACCATCTCCAAAATTGACGACATTTACAGAAATAGATTGAAAACTTTGCTCTCCGTCGACGAGATTGTGGAGAAAATTGTGTTGAAATTGGAAAAATTGCAGATTTTAGAAAGGACTCATTTGATTTTTACCTCCGACCATGGATATCATTTAGGTTTGGATACTTTTAATGAAAATTTACATTCGTCAAAAAAAAAAATCTAAACCCATTGTATGGAATGGACTAAAACAAACTAAAATGCTTAGACAAAAATTATTTTCGGAATAATATCAATATATAGAGATATTTTTGGAGTGGAATATATTTTTTTTATTCCATTAATCAAATAAAATCAATTCCATCCTGGATAAAATATTTTCCCATCCATTCTATTCAAATATAAAGTATAAATATGAATTAGACCAAATTTATATTTTTCAGATAAATTAGTTGAACTACTAAAATCTCTCTAATTCTGTTCCTATTGCACTAAAATATTCTTGCCCCTTAATTTTATTTTAATTTAATCTGATACCTCGGAAAATTATATTTTATCTTTGATCTCCTTATTTAGGTTATTTTTGACTATAAATGAATTAATTAAAAAAAAATCCTTCAGGGCAATTTGCTCTACCCTGGGACAAGAGACAACCGTACGAATTCGACCTGAGGGTGCCTTTTGTGATTCGCGGCCCTGGAATTCCAAAAAATCAGTCTTTCCCCTTTCCTGTGCTTTTGACCGATCTGGCGCCAACCTTTTTGCAAATCGCTGGAACTAAAGACGATGAGGCTGATGGAGTTTCCTTATTTAATTTGATCGAGGCTGAAAAATTAAACAGGACCTTCTTGATCGAGTTTCACGGTGAAGCGCATTCTGATTCGGTATCTGAAAATTGCCCCGACGTCTACAGAGATAGAGATCAATTTTTTGTAAGGATTCTTATTTTAATTAAATCTTCTATTATATTTTTTTCACGCAGCAATGCACCTTGGAAAATTCATGCAAGTGCCAAGACGTGAGAAACAACACGTATCACTGTCTGCGTCACCTCTCGGACAGGTGCGACTTTATTTTCTGCCACTTTGAAGATGATGAGGTTTGAGATTGGAATTAAAAAAAAATTTAGTCTTATTATTTGAATATATGCAGGATTTTGAGGAGTTCTACGATTTAAGGTCAGACCCTTTGCAACTCGAGAACACGGCCAGCGTTCTTCCGCCGCATCATTTGCAATTTTACAGGAAAAGTTTGCACAAGTTGAAAAATTGCAAGGGTCGCGATTGCAGAGAATTGAGGAAGATGAAAGTTTTGTGCCCTTTGGAAACTCAAAAGAATAAATAAAACAATCAATTTATTTCTCTTTTTGACGAATAGTGCGATGACAAGTTTTGCTCGGTTTTAATTTGTTTTTATTTTTCTCCAATTTTTAAATACAGAATATTAGAATTAATTCTATTTTAAGAATTTTAAAATTCAAAAAACAAATATTCTGCATTGAAATATTAAGGAGAAAAATAATGTAATTTATTTTTTCAATTTTTTTTTAAATGTGGTTAAATTTGGTTAAATGTCAGCTTATTTTAATAAACAGCTCATGTAAAATATTTAATTTTTAAACTTCATTTACTGAAAAATGTTAATTAGAGGATTTTTATAGACGCTTTTTGGTTTTTTGATAAATATAGCTCATCCTCTCTCCCCATTACCGCGGGGTATTGACCTTTGGTTTACAATAACAAAAACTCTTTACTTTGTTATCAAGAACACCTCGGTTGTCAATTAATTATACCGTGAGAAATAAAACTCAACAACAATACATTTTACTTTTCCTACAGAACTAATTAAATTATATAATAAACAATTAAGGAAAGTTTTTTTTTAATGCAGAAAAAGATATTAAATCTTAATAACAGAAATTACACACTGCTTTGTTTGAATAAAAACTATTTCTAAAATAGTCTGGGACGCCGGAGAAATGTAGATCGGTCAAGCACAAACTGGTGCTCTAATTTGTTAGTCCCTCTTAAAATATGATAAACTGAACTTATATATAGTTGAGAGGCTTTGAAGGTGCTCGTCACTACTGATTGTAAATGAGACACGCGCGTTGTGGAATGGGTCGGTCGGTGGGAAAAGTTTTTTTCTTCTGCCTCTGCGTCTCTTACGTAACTTCAGCCCCGTGGCGATTTTCGCCCGAGGAAAATTTGCAGCTCTTTGAAGGGGACATCATTAAGGTCAAGGTGCGATTTCCTTTATTTTGGACGGGGGTTGATTTGTTGTTTTCGTGCAGGTCCATGATCATAGCGTGCGGAATCTGGTGATCGACGAAGGCCGCCTCTGGCCGAACAAAACTGTTTTCTACGAGTTTGCCGAAGACGAATATCATCCGATGGAGCAAATGTGGATCGAACAGGCAATCAAATCATTGCAAAAACTTACTTGTGTGCAAATCAAGAAAAGGGTTGACGAGGAAAACTACTTGCACATCCAGAATAATAAGGGGTAAGATTTGAAACAGAAATTTTTGAACTTCCTTTTGATTTTTAGATAAATAATTTATTTTATTTCCATATTTTCTTTCAAAATTTCAAATTAAATCACTAAAAATTAATGCATTACATAACTTTTTAGTTTATTTTGACGTAAAATATTTTCAAAGAAAATTTACTTGCAAATTTAGTTAATTTGGAATTGGAATTAATTATATTTTATTGATAAATAAATATTTTCAGAAAATGTTAATGAACTAAAGAATTTTTCCGCTAATGTATTAACAATTAAAAAGTAGATGAACAACATTTTTTCGGTTTTTTAAGAAAAAAGTTTTAATTCCTTTAGTTGTGCGGCTCCGGTTGGTTTCTATCCGCTGGGCAAAGTCGAAATGTTCCTGCAGCTGCCGCTCTGCATCAAGTGGGGAACAATTCAGCATGAGTTTTTGCACTCGCTCGGTTTCTGGCACGAGCACACCCGTCCCGACCGGGACAGGTACGTGTCCGTGCAGTGGGACAACATTGTGAGCGGCGCCGAGACCAACTTCCTCAGCAGGTCGGCGTCCGAGGCGCACCTGGAGAACATGCCCTACGACTACGAAAGCGTCATGCACTACAAGTAAAAAATGGTATTTTATTTCTCGATTTTAATTTGGAATTTTTAGACACACGGCGTTTTCCAAGGATTTGACAAGACCAACTTTGGTCCCTCGCAAAGCGGGGGTCGAAATTGGTCAGCGGATTAAAGTCAGCAAAATTGACGTTGCCAAATTGAATCGACTCTATGAGTGCGGAAGAGAATTTTATCGCGGAGATGAGTTGGTGGAAGAGTTTGTGACACCTGAAACTGTTTCAACAACGCATACATCTGGAGATTCCAATTCTGTTTGAAATTGCAAAAGATATTAATGTGACAAAATTTCTGAAAAAAAAATTAATGCATCAGTATTCTTGATCATTTTTAAAAAAATATTTATAGAGAGAAGGTATTCATAATTTCATACAAATTGATTTGTATCTTTTCTATTGCTAAAAGGGTTGCATAAATTTTATGCAAAGCTAAATTTAAAATTCAAAGCATACAAATTTTGTTGGTAGTTTTTTTCATAACGAATTTTTAATTTGGTCTGTTTTTGAACTTGAACTAAATATGTAGTCACGAAAAGAGTTTTTAAATCAATACTGTTTTTTTTTTCTAATTAATCTAGATGGCAGAATTTGGTAATAACCTTGTCCTATTAAATCGATTTTTCACTGTCACTAATTTGAATAATTAATTGAAATGTCTTTTCCTTTCAATTGAGCAATCTTTCCTTCCAGAGCGAGTTACTTTTACAAATGCGGAAGTGTTTTTTGCTCTAATGCGCCGCGTCCACCGACTCATGTTTGTCCACCGAGTGGCAGGTCCGGAAAAATGGACGGGTCATTATCTCGTGACACCAAGCGTGTCAATTTTCAGAGCGTGACGTCACCGCGGCGGCGAGTAAACATTATTGACCCAGCTGACTAACCCCTCATTTCACTGTCACCTTCTGAGAAAAGCGCCGAAAATTAATAATTGATTAATAATATGCAGTTTTTTTTCTCAATAAATTTATATAAATAGAATGTAATTTATTAAACTTGAGGTGATTTCAAGTTTGAGCGTCGCCGAAATCCATCATCTGAATTTGAGAATGATCCACAGCAGGAAAAATACGAACAGGCAGAACAGAAATAGATAGACCAAGTGGTAGTTGTGGCTCCCTTTGCTCAGCCGAATCACTCGATCCATTGCCTTTCCAATGAAGCCGCGCGAACCTTCCATATCATCATCCTAAAATTGAAAAAAAAAATACAACTTTATAAAAATTCCATATTGATGAGAAAAAGGAGATAAAATTTTTAAATATCTTAGAAATAGTTCTGAAAATATCATAATATTGTCTTCAGTAAATATAAAATTACCATCTCTGTCAGCAGTTTGTTGTGGTATTTGACCTCAGTTCCCATGTCAATGCAGAGCTGTAGGATAAAAAAAAAGTCAACTTAGTTTTTATTAAATAACTTTGGCAATTTCCTATGTTTATCATTTTTTTCTAGGGGTGCCGTTCTGTTCAGAAATTAAATATTTCATATTTTCCTCTCCCTCCCAGCAATTGATTACTTTTCATTACTTAAAATTTATGTAGCAATTCGACCAAGAAACATATAAATTTTATTTCCGAGTAAGACTTTTTATACGAACCGTTCTGAGTGACCCGATTTTGTCTTTGAGTTGGTCAGTCATTCTCTCATTTTCCTCCTCTACCGGCGAGTTTGGTTGGAATGAATAAGTTTGGTCTGGAAATTGAAAAAGGCAAATTTTATAAAATTCATAACGAATTAATTTGATGAATCATCAATCTGGGATTATTATTGCATCATTTTTAGATAATTTAATTATCAAACTTACTGGCGTGCGACCTCCTCATTTCGGCGATTGTTTTCTTCTTCTCCTCGCAAAACTTCGAATTTCAAACCTGAAATTAAAAAATTCTAAGTTAAATCAAAACTTTCACAAACGTGGCATTGCAATAGGTTTGTCCTCTAAAAAGTCTTGCATAAGTTTAAATTGAAACTGATTGAAGCCAATGTGGCCTGAAATTTAATTATCTCACGTTTCAAGCAAAATTGTCGTTCAGCTGCATTTTAAATATAAAAAATTAGAAAGATCACCACTAAACGTTTTGTTTTGGTTTCGGTGCACACAGCTGGAGAAATTTTCTTGACAAGTCGGAGTGAATTTCCCTCTGGTGGCCAACGTTGGAACTACGTAGAAATTATTAGGACGGGCAGGATTGGCCGAACTGTTTGATTTGAAAATAAATGGCGACAAACGTGCGTGCAATTTGGTTATAGACCCGGGTGTAAAATAAAATTGGAAGCAGAAATTAAGGAAATTAAGTTTCTTTTTCTCTCAAATTTAGAATATATTTTTTTTAAATTCTTTTTATTTTATACTTGCAGAAATTAAAAAAATATATATATATTTTCAAGCCTAATTTTTTACGAAACATTTTGTTTTTTGCTGGAATTATTTTGAATATTAATTAACTTTTATTTATTTATATTTAACTTTCATTCGATATATATTCAATTTTTTTTATAAAATCATAAAAAACCTGAATCAAAATGAAATTTTTGCGCAGGGATTTTTTTTTGACAAATTATATTATTAATTTTTTTCTTTTTAATTATTACAGATTAAATTATTGACAGTCCTTTGTTTCGTGGAAGCGTTTTCACAATAATTGAAAGTTATTTTTCCGCTCCGAAATTCTGAGAAAGGCCTTGACATGGACCTTGCGTCACGGTGTCAGAGGTCAGTGTGGCGCATCTCGACTGATTAGAGTTCTACTGGTGATCTCATTCGGGATCAGTCGCAGATGTGCCACAACCATGGGCACAACATGGACTGCTCTGTTTTTCTCAATAATCCTATCAACGGCTGTCTCTGATCCGGTGATTATTATTTATTTATTCTTGAATAATATTGTTATAATCTCCATAATTTAACATGTTTCTTACACAATGTTTACTATATAATTTTAAATTTTATTCTTTGTTAATGTAAATTTTATAATCAATTAATTTTTTTCAATTAAATTGGGGTGATCAAGGGTTGATGTGATGTTTGATTTAATAAAATTTCATCAACTTTACTCGAGCAGATTTTTGCAAAATATTATCATTTAAAAATGTTTAAAAAAAAAAATCATTTTTTAAACTAATATTTAAAATAAATCAGTTTTTTAAGTCGATTTAACTCTTCAATAATTTCTAAATGGAAATCAATGTACTTTAAAAAATAAGATTTTATAATACGGAAATAAATTTTCTTCTAAATCACTATTTAATTTTAATAATTAAAATTATTGAAGGTTTTTATTTTTATTTTTAGATCGTTTTTCGAGGAGAGCAGCAGGAGCATAAACTTAAAAAACAGTTTGAGTTTGCCCGAAATTGGCAGCAGCAACAGTATTCCTCTGAAATTCAGCAACTCCACCAAAATCCATACCACTCTGAGCCTCTGGTCGTGGTCCACTCGTACAAAAAGCACCCGCAGTACGAGTACTACCAGGGTCCGACCCTGCAAAACGTGATCGAGCCTCCGAGACAGTCCGAGAGGCCAAAATTCAAAAGCAGCCTCACCGAGCAAATCAACGCGTTTTGTCTGGAGGAGAACGGACTTTTTTCTTATCCTCCAGACTGCAGAAAATTCGTCAACTGCTGGAAGGTATTTTTTTCAATATTTATTGATACCTCTCAATAAAAAAAAGACAAATTATATTAAATAATATTTCAATTTCAAACGTCCAATTAAATTGCATATTAATAGAAAATGGAAAAAATTTAAGAATGATTTCGTCGGCTACGCGGCCAAATGGCCGATCTGGTAAATACCCCTGTGGGGAAAATGGCTAGTAGCCACTTTCCCCGTTGGGGAAAATGGCAGATGAGCCTTTTTTTAAATTTTACAGGAGAAGCAAAAAACTGATTATCTGCTCCAATTTTTAATGTTCAGATTTCAAAATTTGAACCAAAGTTCAGCATGTTATTGCAGATAATTTGGTAGACTTAATTTTCTTTTAAACCTTAATATACAACTGTTGTAAGAAATTTAAAGGGAATTAATTCCACACTGAAAGAGTAAAACGTACAATACAATCGAAATTAAACCACTTATGCGATTATTTCCTGCTTTTCTTTGTTCAATTTAACTTGATAATTATATTTTATAATATAATTTTATTTTAATTCATCGTATTTTATAATATTTTTATTATTTTATTTTATTTAAATTAATATAATTTTATTCTTTTATTTGCACAATAGTAAACAATTTTGGCATTAAAAGCATTTTTTTCTTATTTCACATGACCCGGCGTCACTTCTAATTATAATCTCATGAATAGTTTTACTAATACTTACTATAAATTGCAATAATTAGTGAAGTAAAATCTAGCTCGGATACAACATAAAGCTTCTGGTCGCATGTCAAATATTTTAATAAAAAAATATATTTTTTACTATTTATTTAATTTTAAAATAATATCTATTTTAAAGAATTATTTGCATTATCATGCAAAATGCATGAAAAAGCTGTCACTTTGGAAAACAATATTGACGAAACTACAGCTTATTCTGATATTTTACTTCCTACTTAATGTTAGGTATTTTATTAAATTTATTAAAATTTTTTTTTTATATTTTTTATATTTTCGATATTTTCATTATTTTTAACATTTATTGCATTTAAAACAATTTTGGCATTATTCAGCAAGCGGGAATGCTGCCTGCTTGCCTGTAAGGGGGCGTGGCACTGCCTTACTTTTGCTCCCTGAACTCGCGATAGTGAGACATCTACTGAGAAAGTTGATACTTTTATGGTTATTTCTGATGCAGATTTTTACACTGAATGCATTGGAACAATAAAAAAAATTTGTCCGGAAATGCTCATCTGCCATTTTCCCCAACGGGGAAAGTGGCTACTAGCCATTTTCCCCACAGGGGTATTTACCAGATCGGCCATTTGGCCGCGTAGCCGACGATTTATTTTTATTGAGATTGCTGTAAAAAAAAATTTTAAGCTATTTTTTATTTTTAATATTTATCATTGCCATTTCTTATTAGGGACGTGGAACTGTGCAAGTTTGTGCCGCCGGAACTCTTTTCGATGCTGAACTTCGAAATTGTGATCACGAGTACAAAGTCAATTGTGTGAATGCCGAGGCAGAGCAGCCGCAGATCTTCCACGGCTTCATCAGGGCCGGTGGAAGAAGGTATGAGGAGCAACAAGGGTTTGTCGATTATGACGAATCACCAACATTGGAGTCTGAGGTAAGAAAAGTAGTATTTTATCTTGTAATTTTCAGTTAATTTTTATTATTTTCAATTTTAGTTAAAAAAAAAAAAAAATCAATGAAAAATAGTTTTACACCGAAATTGGCTTTTGTGTTTATTTTACACTAATTAATTTAAAAAATGGCGATTAGATGTTTGCTTGGGTTGAATTTCAATAAACAATTTAAATAGGAATTAAACGGAATTGAATAATTAAATAAAAAATAATTTTTCCTTTAAAGACAAATCATTTTTTATTGATTATTATTATTTCTTTAATTTCACACATATTATCTCATTTTTAGACGGGCTTGGAGCAAAACTACAACCGCGACTGCCAGTACCCGAACGACCCCTGCCCAATTCCGCCACCCCCGAAGCAGGAGCCGCAACCCCTATCGTGTCCGGAGCCGTCCGGAATGTGGCCGCACCCGCACGACTGCGCCAAGTTCATCCAGTGCTCGCACAACCGGCTGTTCGAGATGCCGTGCGGCCCGGGCACCCTGTTCAACCCCAAGTTCATGGTTTGCGACTGGCCGCACCATGTCGACTGCCAGGTCGGGGACCAGGAGCAGGGGGGCGCCGAACAGGGCCAGGAAGTAATCATAAACAGGTTTGGCGAAGCAGGAGAGTTCGAGGAGAAGGAGCAGCAGTTTTTCCAACCGTCGTCAACAAGTACGTCAACAACTTCAACAACAACGACGACGACAACAACAACTAGACGTCCACCCACTACGACCAGAAGACAGTATCAAACCATGTCAAGGTTGGTATTTTTTTTTTTTTTTTTTTATATAATAAAATGTTTTTCTATTTTCTCATTATTTTTTATTCCATCTGATTTATTAAAATTATGTCTTATAGAAAGTGCTAAATTATTACAAAAGAAATGCGGATATATAATAAAAAATTTTTAATAAAACAGCAATTTATAAAAATTTATTATTTTTTTAAATATTGCATTTTTTAGTATGAATTAAAGAATTAAATTACTTATTTTATGTAAAAAGACTAACAATTAGATTTCATGAATACAAATAAATAATACCTTTTTTAAAAAATAATTTTGGCTCAAATGTATACTAAATAAATAAATATGGTATCTTTTGATTTTATTTAATTAATAATTTTTTTTCTCTCTCAATCTCACCATTTTTTCTATTTATCGGTAATTAATTTTGTATTAAATTGTCTAAAGGACAACGTTGACAACAACCCCAACACCGTCAACAACCAGAAAGCAGTACCAGACGATGTTGAGAACCAAAAGCACCCCCGCGGCCACGACAACCCCTGCTCCTCCAACAACAACCCCTCCTCCAACCACAACCCCCGAATTCATTCCTGAAGAAATCCCGGACCTTGAGCAAGGCGGTCCCAGAGAAAACCTGATTCCCAACGACCTGAAGTCGCCGCCCCCAGGTCAAGTGGCTCAGCCGCAGACTGGAAACGGCCAAAGGGTGCGTTTGAGGAACGGACCCGAGCCCTGGGAGGGTTTGGTCCAGGTTTTCCTCGGCGACAGTCTCGGCTGGGGTTTTTTGTGCGACGTCAGCGGAAACTGGACCATCAGCGAGGCCAACGTCGTCTGCAACCAATTAGGATATGAAAGGTAAATAAATCTGCAAATTAACTACTCAATTTTATGTGGATTACAGAATGTTTAAATTTTTAACAATTTTAAATTTTTTAAGTAAAAAAAATACTAAAATGCAAGAAATTAAATAAAAATATTTACAGATTTAAAATTATTTTCTTCATTTCGTTTTGTAGTTTTAAATAATGAGAAAGAATCTTAATTAAAAAAAAACAGCTTAAATTCATAATTTAAATGTTTAGAGGAGCTGAAATGGCATGGCAGGGTTCTCGCTTTGGTCTGGCCAAGGCGTTGTGGCCGCGACTTTCGGTAACCTGCTCGGGCCAAGAACGCACCCTGCTCGAATGCAAGGCCAAAGACGTTTCCTCGCTGGGGTCGTGCGACCTTGCCCGACACGGTGCCGCCGTCCGGTGCGCCAGACCATCCAAGTCTCTGTGCGGACCTTTGGAGGTGGCGTGGGGCGGCAAGTGCTACAAGTTGACCAGGGACATGAACATAAGAGAAGAGGCGAAAAAGCAGTGCGGCGAAAATGGCAATTTGCTCACCATCGAGTCACAGGTAGAAAAAATTGTAAATTAAAAATTTAACCAAAATTTTATTTTATATCTGTGGAAACAAAAAGCCTCTGGTGCCATTAGAAAAAAAATGTTTATCCCGTTAACGCGTGTTAAGAAAATGTTGTCCCGATGAATGATTTGGCGATGTAAATAATCGAGAGGGGGGGGTGTTAAAATATTTATCTTGAGTCATTTGGATGACCCATAACCCTTTAGATTTATCCTGATATCGTTTTTTTTTTTTTTTTTTGGAGAACTAATTCAAGAGAATAGCGCTCCGTTTTTAATTAAAAGAAAAAATATATCATTCTTTTGAAAGTTACAGTTTTGTAGATTTTGCTTGTTAAAAGTATTTTTAACTTTAATATAGAAATTTGGGCTTTTTTTCTTCATTTCAGGCAGAAAACGATTTTATATCTGAATGGCTCCTTGTTAAACATCCATCGGTGGGCAAGATTTTCACTGCTGGGATTGGCGTAAAGCTTTTCAAGAATCCAGTTTGGGCTTGGCAGGGTAGCAACTCACCCTTCATTTACAGCAACTGGTGGCCAGGTAATTTATATTTATCAAAATTGTAAATAAAAAATAGTGAAATTGATCACCATTTGCGAAATCGAATACCATTGGTTCTTATGGCAGCCTTATCTTAGAATGATTGAATCTTTTCAATCCTAAGATATGTTGTAGTAGATGCAAAATAAAAAATATTGGCGTTGGAAAAATCAAAATTGGTTCAGCGTGGGGCTGTAGTCAGGCGATCAAAGATTTGTAAAAGCTCAAAAAATTGGCTTCCGTTGCCTACTTTTTTTTTCCAACGCCAATATTTTTTATTTTTCATTTTGTACAACATGTCTTAGGATTGAAAAGATTCAATCATTCTAAGATGAAGCTGTCATAAGAACCAATGTTATTTGATTTCGCAAATGGTGAATTTACTGTTTATTCTCTCTGATATTTAAAAATAGTAAAATTCAAAACTTGTGCATCTCTAAATTTTGTAGAAAATCCAAATTAATTTTTTATAATATCCAAAAACTTGTAAAAAATTGATCTGATTTCAAAAAATTTATCGTAAAAAATTTCAGAATACACAGTTAATGGCTGGCCGGAGTTGAAGGAGGAAAGAATGCCCAAGTGCGTGATCGGCTCCAGATTCTTCCCTTGCAAGGGCGCGAAAAAGGGGGAGTTGTGCGACCAGGGCTATCTCTATTGGGAGGCGTTGAATTGCTCGGACAAGAGCTGGGCCGTGTGCGAGCGACCTCAGGACGAGGTCACGTGTCACGAACCTGGCGTCAGGTACAAGGGCAACGCCAGCATGAGCGTCAGCGGGCTCGAGTGTCAGCGGTGGGACATGACGGAGCCTCTGCTGCGGCTGCTCAGCTTTTCCGAGAAGGCCACCCTGCAGGGCCACAACTTCTGCAGGGAGGTGCCGCTGGCCAACCAGAAGGAGGAGATCAACGGACCCTGGTGCTTTGTGGCTCCAGAATGGCCCGAGCAGTGCGACGTACCGCAGTGCAACGATTCTACAGTTGGTAATGAAATAAAATAAATTTTAAATTTAAAAAATTTTATATTATTTTAATAGTTACGTGAATTTTATTTTAATTTTATTAAACTATCTATTTTATTTAATTTTCATTATTAACTTAATTTTTGAGCTATTTTTTATAAAAATTATAAAAAAAGTTTTATTAAAAATAAAAAATAAATCGAATCAATCATCAAAGGAAAGTTTCTTAAAAATTATCTTCATTGACAATAAATTTTTGTAAATCAATTTATTTTTTCAATTCAATGTTTTATCTGTTTTTCTGTCTCAAATAATGTTTGTGTTTATTCAGGGGAGGCTCGTTCTGGTTCTTTTAATGTCCAGTGCAAAACCAATGAACGTCGTTGTGAGAGTGGAGGATGCATTTCCACAGACTGGATTTGTGACGGCGAGAAAGATTGCCCTGGCGGAGAAGATGAAAAAGGGTTGGTCACTTCCTTTTATTTAATATAGAAATAATTATTTAAATTTGAGTTCTAAAATTTTTATTTTAATCATTTTTCATTTTACTTCAGGTGTAAAGATCTTTTATCAGGATTTACGGTCAAACTCTTCCACCACCTTGTTGCCAGGGACAGAGAAAAGTACCTGGGGGTGAAATTAGAGAAATGCGCCAAACTCTGCATCGAAAGTCACTCGTTTGTGTGCAAATCATTCAGCTACCAGTAAAAAAAATTAATTAAAAAAATGAAATGAAAAATCTTAAATTACATTATAATTTTAGTTCAACAAACAAAACGTGCATCCTAAGTGAGGATAATGTTGGAACTTCTGGTGGGTTGAAGATGAACGAGGCTTGGGATTATTACGAAAGAAAATCGCTGACGGTCGACTGCTCCAAATTATTCACCTGCGGGAATAAACAGTGCATTCCAAAAAGAGCTGTAATTTTACCAAGATTTGTTAGATATTTTTTTATAAATATATATTTTTCTTAAGGTTTGCAACGGGAAAAATGATTGTGGGGACAGATCGGATGAAAAGAATTGCTCGGCTGATGCTTTGAATTTTGGTTTGCGGCTGGCCGGAGGGGCCAATGAGTATGAAGGCCGGGTAGAAGTCAGAGGTATATTATTATTTTAAAGTGACTTTTTAAATTTAAAATTTATTTTTCTAATTATTTTTGTAGCTTTTGGAAAATGGGGTCTCGTTTGTGACGACAAATTTGACATTTTGGACGCCCATGTTGTTTGCAAGGAGTTGGGATACACCCTCGGGGCAGCCGCGGTCGCTACTATGTCAGAATATCCTCTTCCTAATAATGGTTAAATAATTTCAAACCACAAATAATTATTCTTCATTTTTATAATTCTGAAATAGGGACAAAGAAAATACCATTTTACATGGATGACTTGCAATGCACCGGAAGTGAGGGTTCGATTAGCGAGTGCAATTTCAGTGGCTGGGGAGAACATGACTGCAGACATGATGAGGTGAAATTAAAAAAAAAAAATGAATTTATTTTAACGAAAAAATATTTTTAGGCTGCTGCTGTGGTCTGTCGAGTTCCAGGACAGGAATGCAGCCCAAGTGAGTTTAAATGTGACAGCGGGGAGTGTCTGATGCTGAAGTATTTGTGTGACGAATTCGACGACTGTCAGGATATGAGTGACAGTTTCCCTGAAAGATGCAAGGTGCAATAATTTTTATATAAAATATTTATTAATTAGTTAAATAAAAACAAACCCAAAATTGACATTTATAACCATAAAAAAAAATAATAACTAAAATTTGTGTCCCCCAAAAATGAGACTTGCATTGAATGAAATTAATTTAATATCTGAATTGTTTAATAAAATCATTTTTCCTGAATTTTATTAATTTTAAATAGCTTTTAAAATGATCCTGTTTTCAGTCAGTCAAACTTATTATTAAAATATCATTTTTTTTTTAACAAGGCGCCTTTTGAAGTTCGACTGGTGGACGGTGAGAACGAGATGGAAGGTCGCGTGGAAATTCGCCACAAGGGCGTGTGGGGCACGATTTGTGACGACAGTTTCGAGCAGCCCGACGCTCAGGTCGTTTGCCGCATGCTCGGCTACTGGGGCCCCGCCAAGGCCCTGAAGGCGGCCACCTTTGGGCCCGGCAGTGGGCCCATCTGGCTGGACGAGGTGCAGTGCCTGGGCCAGGAGACGGACGTTCGCAAGTGCGGACTGCTGCCCTGGGGCGAGCACAACTGCGGTCACAACGAGGACGTCGGCGTCAGGTGCTCTCAGGGCAATTTCTCCTTCAGCAACCGACACAAGGTGAAACTAAAATATTAAGAAAAAAACTTGACTAAAAAAAAATGCTTTTCAGGAACCAGAGCCAAAAATAAAGGCCCAGCCGCAAACACTGACCGAATTTTTCCCCGCCCAGTGTGGATCAATTCAACTACCACCCCCTCTAAAGAGTGGTAGATTTACTCCAAAAATCATTGGAGGTTCCGAAGTAGTCAAAGGGTCACATCCCTGGCAGGTTTGTGTAAAAATAAAAAATATTTAAATTATAGATACAATGAAATCTTAAAAATTATAGTTATTAGTACCTTGTTTTTTTATATTCTTTTAAATTGTTATCTATTTTTTGCGGCTTTCATCAGAATATTATTCTCTTTTATTAAGAACTAAATTTCTTTCTCCACTTTCCAGGGCAGTCTGCGAGTCCGAGGTCCGAGCGGAGTGTCAGTTCACTGGTGCGGGGCAGTTCTGATATCGAATCTGCACGTTTTGACCGCAGGTCACTGTGTCGTGGATCACCAAAAGTCGCAATTTGTCCTCAGATTCGGAGATCACGACACCCACGTGCGTTAAAAAAAATAATATCAGATAAATATTTTTTTCTCTGAATTTCCAGACCGTTGAGGAGAGTGAGCAGGACGTGCTGATCGACGACATAATCCAACACGAGGAATTCAACATCGGGCCCAGACTGAACAACGACATTGCCATCATTCGGCTCCGCTCACCTGGTGTGCAGTTCACAGACTTTGTCCAGCCTGTCTGCGTGGCGCCCAAAGAGGCGGTTTACTCGCCCGAACTGAACTGCACAATTTCTGGCTGGGGTGCAAAGGGAGCTTCTTCCAGTGGGCCTTCCAGATTCCTCCGAGCCGGCACTGTCAACCCCATCCCTGATCAAACTTGCCGCAGCGAACAGGTAGAATTTAAAATTACTGAGAAAAAAAACGTTATTTTCAAATTAAAAAATAAATTCATATTTTAATATAATCAAATATAAAATATATTACAAAATTCAAAATATCATTGTTCGTTTCCCTTCAAAGTTTAAATTTTAATTAACGCCTTAAATTAGAAACTTTATGCAACCTGCAAATCACCTGTGTTGAGATGTTTGCCTACCTTTGCCACTTCTTTTTTTCTAATAAAATTGATTCTTTAGGTTTACGGGGCGCAGGCGTTGAGTCCTGGCATGGTCTGCGCCGGAGACCTTCAGGGCAGCGTCGACTCGTGCAATGGAGACTCTGGCGGTCCGCTGGTGTGTCCCAACGAAGATCGTTTCACCCTTTACGGCATCACCAGCTGGGGCCGAGGGTGCGGAACGTCCAACAAGCCAGGCGTGTACGTCCGAGTGAGCGCCTTCAGGGACTGGATTGAGAAGAAAATCAGACAAATCGAGCTCACTGATTTAGATTTGGAAAACTTGTTGGAGGCGAGAGAGTGAAATTGAAAAAAAATTTATATAAAATAAATAAAAATCTTAAAATTGTTCAATACTATTCATTTATTCTCTCGCAACAAGTCATACAGAAATTGAAAAGTCACATTGGGAGAGAATTGGCAGCCAGCTCTAGTAAACAACTTACTAAAACTCATAGGCCTAATTTGGAAGCAAAAGTGTTTCCAAATTAAAAAAAATTATCAAAGGGTCACATATTCTTTACATGCAACAGTGCTGTTCTGTAAAAACTCAAATTTTCTGGCTGGATTACATTATTTTGTTATTTTATGAGGAGATGAAAATTACATCGCGTAGAAAAATCATAAAGCGCAAGGGTGGCGGCGGCGCATCATTAACTTGATTAGCCAGTTCTGCTTCTTTTATATCTTTGGAAATTCATTCTTATTTTTTTATTTTAAACGTATTTTTCGAAGGAATAAAAAGCCTTTAATTAAATAGTATTTATTTCCACAGTACTATTTGTGAATGGGAAAAGTTAAATCTTTAAAATTAAATCATGAATTACACACTTTAGAAGATGATTATACAAAATAATGATCAAACATGAAAGTGAGAAGCTATAAATCGTGGGAAAACCAAGCAAAATTTGAAATTAATGTGGGATTTTCCATCACATCAAGCTGCAACTGATATGCTTGTTTTTTTTCAGCTTGTTTCGCAGGTCACACAACACCAACCATGGGAAAAAACGTTCAGTTCGTTATATTCATCTTGGTTCGGACAAGTGTTTTTTAATACATTCTAATCTTATATTATTTGAAAATTTCTTTAGGCTCTGGTATTGTATGCAGCAGCTGAAGCTAAGAAAAGTTGAAAAATTATTAAAAAGTGTTTTTGTTTGGGGTTTAATTATCAACAAGCGTTATTCTGACAGGCAGTAAAAGACACACGATTTTGAAGTGTTGCGGAGCGAGTTCGTGCGTAAAAACTGGAAGTAATAATAAAATTGCAGAAGCCACAAATACGACAAGCTTAAGAAGCACGGTAATATGAGTGCTTAATTTTATTTCGTCACTTTTAAAATCAGCAAATGAAAAAATTATAATTTTCTTTGTTGTCATTGTCCATCCAATTATTTACTAGAATTTTAAATTTAGGAAAAAAATTATTTTTATTACCCATAGGAAATTAATTAATAATTAAAAGACCGTTAGCAGTTTACATTTCTTGGATTTATCCATTCATATAAAATTTCCATGATTTGAACGTTGAAGAAATTAATTTTTTTTTCAGACAATTGGAAAATCTGAGTCAACAGAGATGGATCCACCAACACAAGCTGAAACAGAACCTTCATCTCTGCCATCTTTAGAAATAACAACAGAAGAACAAACGACAGAAGTGTCAGCACCATTATTTCTGGACAAATTTGTTTTAATTAACCACTACTATTTCCACAGACCGACAACCTTTTCAGTTATCACAAGTACATCAACAACGACAACAACAGCCACTACAGTAATTACCTCAACTACTACAAAACCTCCAACTAAAGAGGTATATATATCATTAAAAATAGAATTAATTTTGACTAGATTGATTTGAAATATCACAGGAGTTAATCCTTGGAACATGCGAAACTACATTTGAAAGAGACGTAATTTTAAGTTTCTTTTTTAATATTATTCATCGCAATATCACTTTACAGAATACCTTATTTAATACTGATGGCACTCTAAAAGGTAAATTTTGGAAAATTTTTTTATCTCTCAAATTGATAAAATGAATCCAAAAGATCCCGAAAAATATGGGTTCTGGGTGCAGTCGTGCGGCCAACAGCTTCTCTTTGGGAAATCTTTGGTACGTAATAACGTAATTCTTAACTCTTGGTAATATTATTGAATTTATCTCCAGGCCACGTGGAGAGACAATTTTATAAGATGCTACAAAATTGGCATGGAACCTCTTACTTTTGAGAATGCAACAAAACTCAGCTGTTTCTCAAATTTGGGTAAGTTTTGTAAAATAATTTTAAAATATTTAAAAAAAAAAAAAACAGTTTCTAAGTGGAAGTACAACTCCAATTACTGGACTTCTGCTTTGAGGGTGAACGAAAGTGACTTTTCGTGGTGCACAAAGGATGGATCTTTCACGGTTGAGAAATCGACGTTGCCCTGGGCAACAGGTCAGCCGCAAAATGCCAACAATAGTGAAAACTGTCTGCACCTCAACGTCTCAAAAGCAAACGCAAACTTTTCATTTTCGGACAGGATTTGCACCGAACCTCAAATTTTTGCATGCCAGGTGAGATAAATGACAAATTTTGAAAAAAATTAATCAAAGACATTAATTATCCAGGGAGCACCGACCCCAGCCCCAACATGCTCAAGTCCTCTCTGTCCGAACATAACTTGCGCTAAAAATGTAATCTTGGTTATTTCCAAAACCGAAATATAAATTTTTTAAATTGTTTTACAGCTTCTTTTCTATACAACTATGGGAAATTCACAATATTTAACAAGTTATTTTCATTTAAACTATAATTAAATTAGAGAAAAGGATGTTTATGAAGTTACTTTCAGATCCAAAATTGCATGGAAGTTGGTTCACATATAACGGACGGAGTTATTTATTCAGTTCAACAAACAAAACCACCAGTGTAAAAAAAAATTGCAAATTTGGGAAATTTAACTTATTTTAAGATAATCAGTATTTAGGAGCGATGCAAGCGTGTTGCGAGGTTGGGATGACTTTGCTGAGTTTGGAGTACGACTACAAGTACAAATCAATCATTCAGGCAATTAAGGGTAATTATATATAAAATTGGCAAAAATTACGTGAATATAAACAATTGTTTTTAGAAAATGTATCTCTGAGTGATTATTTCTGGACTTCGGGGAGCGATCGCGGCTGCGAGTCGAAATTCGGGTATTGCACGGCCAAGAGGATTTTGCGCACAGAGGCCGTTTGGGCTCCGGGTCAGCCGGACAACGCGGGCGGAAACGAAAATTCTGTTGCAGTTTTCATCGATTCTGCAAAAGCTCAGTTGTTGGACTACAATGAGGACTCTAAATTAAAATTTATATGCGAGGCAAAAATGTCATGGAACCCGTTTTACGAAAAATAAAAATAGTTTTTCAGGCAAGGGACACTTCAAAATCAAGTTCAGGCGGAACTGCCGTTAGAGACGAGTGTGTTGCAATTTACAACGTCAGTCAGGGTAGTAAAATTAAAATTTATTGTAATAATTTTGTTAACTATTGAAATTTATCAGCCGAGATTGACGGTCTTTTGAATCCAAGCATTCAGAAAGACACAAGGATGAAGGCAAAACCAATATTAAACGAAAATTTCCATCTCAATATAATTTTTTTTTCAGTGCTTTATTAAGTGTTTGGGTGAAAACGCTGGCTTGGTCTGTAATTGAGCTTTCTCAAAAATTTTAATTTCAATATCAAATTAGATGGTCAACGGAAAGTTTTTGGAGAACGAGGTTTTGGCCACTTTGGAGAAAATTTCTGCTGGAAATGTGGACGAGCTGCAGAAATCTATGGGAGTAATGGACGAGTGCGGAAACTCATCAAGTCTGAAAATTATTTCGTATTTTACTTCAATTTTATGAAATTAAGTAGACGGAATGGATGAGTGTGACAAAGCGGCTCAAATGATAAAATGCAGCAGCGAGAAAGCGCCTGACGTTCTTAACGGAATTATCACGTCCATGGACCAGTCTATGCCCATTGTAAATCAATAAAAAAATTCTGAAATTCTAATTTAAAAAAAAAATTAAAAAAATTTAGGAAGCTCCTGCTATGCCACCTCAAGCACTGTGTTACGATCCAAACGACTGTGTTGTGAATGTTAGTAAATTATTTCAGATTTTTCTGTCTGTTATTATAAAAATTTGAATTTTCCAAAGGCAACATGCGCTAATGAAGTGTCCAGTTGCACTGGAAACTGCACGGTTACTCACGGTTACGTGCGAAATGTTTGTGGCAAGAGGTATTTACATCATAATGGCAATGTAAGCTTAGGTGTAATTTACAACCTTAATTATCAAGCAATTTGTTCAAAGGTGAACTTCAAACAAGCAGTTATTAATTGTTGCGTTCATGGAATGAAACTCGCCACGATTGAAAATGTAGCCGAACTCAATTGCCTGACTGGGCTCAGTGAGTTTTGAAAATTTTTTAAATGTTTGGTTTTTGAGAATTTTTTCTTCTTTGTCATATATTTTATTTATCGACTTTTATTTTTTGATATTGTCAAAAATTTGTAGACACACCCTTCAGTGGCGGTTGGACGTGGTTCTCCTTGAGCAGGATGAACAGCACCACTGCTCGGTGGTGCACTTCAAACGCCACCTTTTCCTTTGACGGATTCGGCGCCATTACTGAAAATCTGGACCCTTCATATGACACTTACGTCATAAACCCGAATACCAAAGCAATTTCAATCACTCGCACAATTTACACCACCTACCCGTTGTGTGTTTCACCTTGATGAATATGCAAAATAAATCAAATTTATAGAGTTTTCATTGCGGTTTTTTAATTGAAAATTTTCAGTAAAAGTGTTACAAGTGTCAGGGATATATTTCAAAGTGCTTCATAATCTTTTGAAATTGAGAATTTTCGTTATTAGCGAAAAAAAAAGCTAAAACTGTTTCTCTGTTATAATTTTTAAAGCGATTTCACAAAAGAAACGCTTCATAAGCAAGTAAAAGGGGCACATCAATAAAATTGAATGTCAATCTCAGTAATCAGTTAAAAGATAAGATTTTTAATCGCCAAAAATTCTAAGCGGGAGGAAAAACAAAAAAAAAATTAGGGCAATCGTAAATGTGAAAATTAACTAGAATTTATAAACGGCATTTTTTTATGTTTTGAAATGAATCAAATGAAATTATATTAAGTATTCTTTTTTATTTGAACGACGTTGGTATTTTTAGGATTGCAGTCGTAAAGAAATAAAAACTTGTGCGTTTTAACTAGAATAATTTATTTTTCATTCATGGTAGAAAAAGGAGAATGCATACACAGTCTCAATAATATAATCAGCTCGTGTCTTACAATATTTCATCGTCATATAAATACAATAATAAGTAAACAACATTATCATCATCATTATCTCTCTTTTGTTATTTTTTGTTATTTTTCTTTTTCACTGTTTCGTAGTACAATAATAATCAATCAATTATAAGAATTAACGGGCAGATTTTTTTTATTCTTTTAATTATTCGCGTTTTTTTTTAACTGAAAAATAACTGCGACCGGTCTTTGCACGGTTAACTGACGGCTGGTTTCGCTCAGTATAACAGGCCTTTGTCTCTCTAACTATTTCAAATACATGTAAGTGGCGTACTCGGCTCTCCTTGCGGCAAAATTTTGATTAGAATTAGACAGACAATCAGTTTTGTTGGTTTTACAAATTGGATTGAATCTTGCAAATTTCAACCGGAAAATTTCTTATATGCGGGGACGTTGAATACGAAGCAATTTTGAAACCGAGTATAGCAGACATACTCTCTACCATGGATTATTTTACGTAGTACAATCAGCGTTTTTTCATTACCATCTTATTTTCCATATCTCTTATTTAATGCTTGCAATATAGAAGTACATAGAGAAGGAGTAGAATATAATTAGTTGCGCTTTTTCCGTACTGATTTTTTTTTTTTTTAGATTTTTATTTCGCTCTCCTCGTCTTAATTACTCTTGTAACAGAAAGATGCAGAGGCAAAACAATCTCAAATAATAATTATTATTCCAAGAAAAGACAGACACAAACATGAACGATTTGCATTTTGATTTGCAAGACGATGGCAGCGCCGGCCGACACCGCCGCGGCAACAACTGTAAATAGAAATCTCCAATCCGCGACGGCGCCGACGCGGCTCCGTCCACCGTCGGCTGCATTCGGCTGGACTCGGCCCCCCACTCCTCGCTCCCGACCAATCACGCCTGCCCGCGAGCATCAACAATTAAAAACAATTTGGCGGGAAGGACGTGTGGACGCCCGAGTCCGAGGTAGTAAATGGTAATTAGGCTATTTTAAGTTAACAATTGCGTCTCTCTGTAAATGTCAGTTTAAAAAAATATTCATGCATCTGTAAATAATGGTCTCGATCACTTGTTTCATTGAGGTAGTGTCTTTAAACTGTCTGTTTGTGTGTATGTATGAGAGTGTAATTATGTTGATTACAAATCGTTCATTGGTTGATTATTCAAAAATTTTCCTTATATCCTGCGGGGGATTATACTTTGCTTATTACATCGTATTATAGAACATCGGCTCGTCTTTCGCGGGAGGGTTGCTCGAAGGAAATTATAATATAGCAAAAAGGGAAATAAAATAAAAGTTTTAAATTCTAATAATTAATAAACAAAGAGTTGAACGAGAATTACTTTTAAAATATAAAAGGCGGCAAAAATGTACAGCATCTTATCGTCGGCTATCAAGGTGTGCAAGGACGAGAGGGGAAATCGTCGACGGCTGTTGTAATTCGGACGACGTCCTCTCGTGGAAAACATTCATCGATATAATAAAGTATATAGGTAAGCTCAGCTGCGAAGAATTTCGAGTTGTAGTTCTGTCTCTGGTTCGTCTCATTCGGTTAATTTTTTATATACTGGCTCATGTCTATCAACATCGGTTATTGTAATTATTGTTATGTGTGCTTGCTTGCTTTCTTGCTGTGGGTGGTTATCAATTTTTCCTTGTTTCCTACACTTGTTATGAATTATTACACTAGAGTTATTTATATGACGAAAAAAATTAAGTGAACTATAAGAAAGTCGCTCTTCTCGAGAGTGCGGTTGTAGTGCGCGTATCATTTTTAATTCTTAATTAATCAAGAAAAATTGAAAGCAAAAAACTAGATAAGCAACAAAGGGACGTACGACGCAAAATTATTAATCAATTACCACAGTAAACTACCATAGTAAAAAGCTACCATATTTAATGTCCATCTCAAAATGTGACGTAGGCAAAAATCATTCGGAAAATGTTTTCGGCGCCTGTCGATTTTGGAAATTATTTTAAGAAGCTGAATGGAGGGCGCAATCAATATGAAACTGGCTCATGATTTCTGCCTGCAATCAATTAAATTTTTTACAGTGTAACTTCGTTTCTATCTGCCTTTTTTAATTATTCCTATTTTAAACGGCGAGGATGAGAGACGATCTCCCTCGCCGGGTGTCGGTTCACCTATTGTTACCCATTGTTGCACATTATCTTATCTGCTAGAGGGTTACTAAAGAAAAGAAATTAATTAATAATTATTCTCAATATACCGTACTGTTCTTTTTTATCAGTGTGATTGATTGGATTTCCCATCAAGTTTGAAACGTTTTCTTTCAGTAGTGCGTGAGTCTAGCAAAAAAATGAACGTTCGCGTTTGGTTGGAAAATGCAGCAGGTTCTGCTGTTCGTCGTCGTGAACAAACAAAACTTTACTTTTTTTACAGTGTATGTATGCGTTTGTATTTTTTTAAACCGGTGTGATTCTGCTCCGTGTTTGTGTGTATTTGAATTGGGCGTGTGTCTTAAGATTATGCGTTCAAAATCTTAATTCAATTATTTCCGTCTTTATATATATCAAATCAGAGACATTCCGACAACGGTTGTTTCGATTTATATACGAAAATCAGAGCCTGCGAAGTTTGAGTGTTTTGAATGAAAAGGGGTTTAAAACAATTATATATAAAATGGGTCCGATGTAATCATACGCCAGCTGATAGTCCCATGGTACTACACGTTTTAAAGAGGCCCTTGTCGCCATTATTATTTCGTCTTACAGTTTCGGCTCTATTTCTTTAATTTTTTACAGTGTCGTGGCAAAAATCATTATTCGACTTGAAACAGAACTCATTTGAGGTAGTGCGGTGTTGTTGTTGTTTCGTTTTTGCCTTTTTTTGTGGTAGTAGTAGTAGTTTTGCGTGTGGAAGTTTCTTTCCGTAAAAGGAGTTTGTTTCCAGTACAATAAGTTCGCGGTCGGTAATTTAACTATTTTTTTTTCAACATTGGACTCTTCAGCCATCTCGCCGAATTTCGCAAAATCAATAACATTTATGTAGTATACAACTTGCTTTTGAGAGAGATTCGAATCTCCGTGAGGTTTCTTTTTTGCGAAAAACAAACTCTGGAATGGCAGATAGTGAAAAATGAAGTATAGTTTGTCGCGTTTGGTGGCCGACTCTGGCACGCAGAAGTCGGCGGATTTTTATTTACGTTTTAGAGTTTGAAAGTAGTTTCCAGCTCTCCATCTGCTCGTGAAGTAGTAGTGTTTAGCCTTGATTGAACTCCGGCCCGCCACCGAGGGCCGGACTTTGTGTAATTTTCGTCCGAAAGGCGGATGATTTTTGTTTTATCAAAAGTCGTTTTCGAGTTTGCTTGAACAAAGAGGTCTGTGTTGGTTGGTTGGCTTCTCGATACTTGATTTTATTTTCATATTGTGTGTGGTTTGCTTGTTGGATTTTTTTTTAAACTTGAAAATCGCATTTTTGACTGAGAAAATTTTTCGTCTATTTGAGTATTTTATTATATAATTTTTAATACATATACGAAATGGGTTTTTTTTAGTTAGGTTGGCCGAGAAAATGTTTTTTTGTTGTTCGATGGAATTATAAATTTGAATTTTCGGTTCAACTCAAGAGGGAAGGCTTCATGAAATGTGGTTGTAGTATATTTTTAGCTTCTGTGAGTCTGCGTTGCTTTTTAGTTGCAAATGAACAAATGGTGATAGCTGTTTGAATTTCTTTTTTTTTAAGTGTGCAGCTCCTTTCTCCCCAGCTTTTCATTAGCCTTGTTTCTCAAAAACAAAACGAACAGGGCCCGGTGGCCCGAAAATAGTCAAAAACACAATAATAAAAAAAATGGCTAGCGTCAACAAAACAATAAGCGGCCACCGGCGCCGCGTTTAAAAATTCGAAACTATTTAATTTCATTTTTTTTTTTTAGTTTTAGCAAAACGAAAGTAATAAAAATTTCGTTCATTGGTTTTCTCGTTTTTAAAAAAGAGATTTCTCTCGTCATTTCGTCGCTTCTTTTTTACCCAACAATGTATCAAAAATAAATTTTTTTAAACATCTTCATCATCATTTTCTTTTTAGCAATAATGACTGTTTTTCACCACACAACAATGATGGTCTCATTTTACTTTGTACTGAGATAGAGTGTGTTAGTCGGCGGCCCCCGCCCGCCTCCACGAGCCGCCCGTGGGGCGGCCGCTGTTAAAAATATGCCATTATATTTTTATACCCTGAGAAATAATTCGATCGGCGGCCCCTCTCGTGGGGCGGCTGTGGGGCGGGAGCCGGCTCGGCTGCACAAAGAACCCGTCTGCGTGCAGCATTCTCGTTAATAAGCCACTTTTTTCTCTTAAAAAATAATATTATAGTTGCAGTCTTATCAAAACATAAGACATTCCTCTCCTCGTTTATTTTATAACCTCAAAAATTATGGCAAACTTTCAATTTCATTGTTTTTTTTTTTTTAATCACTCCATCCACATTTGTCTCCAGTAAAAACCATCCTAGCACAGTAGTGGTTTCTAACCACAAACGTTTTTTGCAGCTAACCTCTCTTTCTTCCTTTCTTTCTTTCTCATCATGTACAATAAAATCCTTAATTTTTAATCATTAGTAAATTGTCCCAGCCTCGCGTATCACCATTAAAGTAAAATATTATCCATTTCGGAGGCGGGGATAATTTTCTTCTGTCTCCTATCCTCGTGCGCGCGCATCGTTTCCCGAATCGTTTGTGTGTGTAATTATTTGACTAAAAGCACCAAAGCTCCCTCTTCGATGCTCTCACACCTGCGTGTCCTCGTCTTGTAGTAATTTAAATTGAGCAAATTTATGCACTCAACCACTCAGACAGCGTGCACCTTAATTACTTCAAAATTTCGTGATCAATGGTACAAGAAATTGACAAACGAAGGCGTCCGCCTCGATTGCTCCACAAAAATAGAATACAACTCTGTCTCTCTCGGCTGCCGACTTCTTCGTCTTCAATTCTGAACCCTGACAGTAAGGTGTCTCGAAAAACCTTACTCGAATGATGTACGTTAGTGAATTTCTTTCAACAACAATCTCCTTTGTGTGTGTTTTTTTTTCCATATTTAAAAATCATCTCTAACAAAAATTCTGCGTTTTTAGCCTCCCAAAGAGAAGGCCTGCTTCTCCGTTGTAGTTCTCTATAGCGTTGTCTTCTCTTTGGTATTTTGCATTTAAAAAGTACGAGGTATTTCGGTTGCACCATTTTGACCCCCTTCCCCCCAGCCCCCTGAGACCCCCTTAACAGTTAATTTTGTTTGTTGAGTTACTACTGGCCGTCCATGCGTTGCTTCTGATCCCCGCGGGGGCCCAGAGGAGGTCGGCCGCCACCCGGGCCTCGCGACGGAGGGCCACCGGGGGGCAGCAGGCCGGGCTGGCCCTGCTGGATCATGGAGCGGATGCGTCTCTGGGCAGACTGCAAGTAAAAACCATATATTAATTTCTTGAAAAAAACACAAAATTACAAAAATTTGAATGAATTAAAATGTTTTTTCTTATTATAATTAAATGTAAATCCGAATCTCTTACAAAATATTGAGTTAAAAGTTGAAATATAACCGGAATTTATCAGATAAAAATATTTCATTTAAAATTTAAATTGTTAATATTTCCCAAACGGATTGAATTTGTAAGGAAAAAATTTCAAATAGAGGATTAAAATTCAATAAAAATGCAAATATTGAATAAGTGTAAATCGAAATGAGTGGGAAACTGACCTGTACTGAGAAGAAGGGTCCAATAATGTGCACCATCGTCTCCTCCCCACTTGCCGACGCCTGTTCGGGCAGCTTGATGATGCCGCCGGTGATGCGCTGCAGCTCTCTCACATTCTGGCCGCCCTTGCCGATGATTCGGCCGACCTGCGCCGAAGGCACGTGCAATTCGATCGTCAGTCTGACGTCCTCGGTGCCTGCCACGAATCCTTCCTCGCGCATCTTCTCAAATATCAAGTACTGGGCCTTCCATTGAGCTTCGGGAGTTCCTGAAAAAGGAGAAATATAATTAATTTAAATGTTGATATGCACTCTTTAATCTCATCATACGTCAGCAGTTAACTCAAGAACATTAAAAAATGTATCTGACAAAAACTCCAATCAAATAAATCTCTTGAAACAAATACTTGTGGCAAACTCTTGAAGAGGATGGCAGATGGAAAAACATGCCCAGGGAAAATTTGCATTTAAAATTACAATTCACAAAAGTTGGCTCATTTGATTTATTTTAAGTTCAAAAGATCAAAATTAATAATTTAGGAGGAAATTAGACAAGCTCATGTATTAGGAAAAACTAATTTGCCGCAAATGAAACAAGTCAAGAAATGCACTTTTATAGAAATTCAAGAACAAGTGTCTTCACTTTTCCTTCTTTGCAAAATTTAACCATTTTGTAAATTTAACAACTGCAATTCTAATCAGAAACTTCTGATCTAATTTAATTTTGTCAGGTTAAATAATGTTTTGTCTTGACAAATAGTACTTCTTTACTTTGTATTTTCAATTTACTTGATCAGATTATACATATTTTATTTTTAAATTACCAATTTATTAGATTATAATTATGTTAATTTTTAGATTGAATCGTGAAAAGAAAAGGAAAAGGCATTCAATTTTTTTTTTGTGAAGGTTCAAGTATCTAAACACATAATTGCAATCTGTATTTTTATAAGTTAAAATAATTTAATTCTTTTTTTTTCTAAAATCTGAAGTCTTATTCAAGATTTCTGGTATTTTCCCCAACTCACCAACAATGGTAACCTTCCTCTCAGGCTGTTGTTCCACAGGCTTGCCCTCTTCGAGCGCCGCAATCTTGACGGACGCCCCTGAGAAGCGAATGATGTTCCGGATGTGCGAGCCCTTGGTGCCGATGATGGCGCCGACGGCGTTGTTCGGAATGTACAGGTAGACCGTCTCCTGCTGGTCGTTGGGCCCACTGACAGGCGGCTGGCCCATGCCGGCGGTCTGGGGGCCGCCGGGGTAGATGGGAGGGAAGCTGCCAGCAGCACCGCCACCGCCACCTCCGCTGTGGGTGGGACCAGAGCTGTAGACCCCGCTGCCGCTGCTGCCCCCTTGGAAGTTGTTGCCGCCGCCACCACCGGGACCAGAGTTGCGCGGGTAGTTCACCCCGACGGTGGACATCATGGCCATCGGGTGCAGACCAGGGAACATTAAACTTTGAGGCTGAAATCAGACATCAATTTGACAATTATAAAACGATAAAATGTAAAATTCGCACAAATAAAGGAAATGATAAGGTTAATAATAAGAAAATTATCAGCACAAAAAATACCTTAAAATATAAATTAAGACTGATTTTTACGTGAATTACTGAGACCGTGCGAAAGAGCATGAAAAGCAAAGACAATAAAATGCCAGAATTTGAACTTTGCCAGCGGAATTTCTTTTCACTAATTAAAAAAAAAACTTTAAATTAAAACTCTTTAATTAAGGAAAACTGGCAACACAGTGGTCAATATTTATTTTGCTTCGCCTTCGCCTAATTTCAAGACTCATCGGTTGACCTGGTGTTTCGCGTTCACTTTTGTACTGATACAAATTTTTTTTTTTAAATAGTAAAAGAACTTACAGCCATTGCTTGGAGATCATTCTCATAGCTCTGACGTAGTTTGGAACTAATAAGTGCTTCAGCCTTTGACATGTTCTCAATGGTGCCTTTGACAGTGATGATGCGTTCCAAGTTGAAACTGTTTATGTCGTTGATGCTGAAAGGCAGCAAAAGCTCAGTAATTTATTTCCAGTTAAAAAGGTAAACATACCTCGATACTGTGATTTTAGTGTCAGTATCCTGCATTATCCGTTTGATTGTGTTGCCACTCTTGCCAATAATTCTCCCAATGAGGTTGTTGTGTGCCAAAATCTTGAGCGAAATTTCACTGCAATCAATTCTAAACATTACAAATGTTAACAGCACAAATATTTTAAGGGAACTGACCCTTTGTTAGTGCTGGTTGCCTCCTGCTGCATGACCTCGAGGATGCGCCGGCAGGCATTAGTGCAGTTCTCAGGGTTGCCATAAATAGTGATGGCCTTCTCAACTGAGCCAACGTTGTCCTTCCGGTGGACGTCGACTCTGGCACGCGTTTGTTGGGTGATCTGCCTGATTGTGCTGCCCTGGCGACCTATTATGGCACCAACCATGTCGCTCTGGACAAGGATTCTGCAAAATGATTTCAGGTATGCGTAAAATGTTGAACAAATGATTTCAAATTAAATTGCTTTTACCGAAGGGGAAAGTCAGTCTGTCTGCTGGATGTTTGCATCCCTGAGAAAGGGGGGCGCGAGTTGCGGGGGCGGTTGTTGCGCCTGTCTGAAATATCTGCCTTCAGAGTGTTGCCTTCGTACTCATGGCCGTTCACCTGGCTGACAACCCTGAAAAGACAAAATTCAATTAGTATTGTTTTCAACAATTGCATGTAAGCAATGTATTGTAAAAATGGACAAAAACAACAATTATTAAAAAGTAAGAAATAGTATTGTTATTAAAATAATCTAGATATAGTCAGCTATTATGTACAAAATTAATTTTTTATGAAATTGTACAAAAATTTGTTTTTATTTAATTTCTTTTCTTTAGTTTTTACAAAACATCAATTATTGGAAAAATTCATTTTTTTTTGTCCAATATATGATAAAAATTCCAAGATCAAAAAGATCCCATCCGTTAAAGTGAACCTTGCATGATTTAAATTTTATTGAAACAGCTCAAATAATTAAAAAAAATTTGAGGAACAAACTACGCCTCTTTTGAAATCTCATAATTTGAATCTATTTGCTTTCATTATTGTTTTTTTATTATTTTTTATTTTTAAATGATTATAAATCTCAACTAATTATTTAATTCTATTTTTTTTTAATGCAAATATTATATTTTTAATTTGATAAAATTTAAAATTTAATAAATTTATAGAAAAACAATGAAAAATATTATATTAAATTTTATTTATAAATAAATTTACAAAATACTGTTTTTTATTATCATTCTATAATGTTTTTTAATAAAAAAAAGTAACTTACTGTTGTGCCTGATCTTGATTCTCGTACATGACTTGGACAGCCTGGGTGTCAGCGTTGCCCTTGGGAGCCAGTTTCTCGATGCTGATGAACGGCGTGTACGATGTTAAGGCCGAAAGCGATTCCTCAAAGCTCTCGAGCCGCACGTGGTCGGGGATGTTGGAAATCACGACTCGCACTTGGCCAGAGCTGCAACGAAAACGAAGAAAAGTCTTTTAGATTTAAAATGCTTCCTGCACTTTTCGACATTAGTTTTCCGCGTGAGGAGTAAAAATTCGACAAGGAAAACGCGAGCGATTCCGAGAAGTGGCGTGTGCTTCCCGAGGCGGGTAATTGCGGTAGTGCACACATGTTGCAGGACTCATTACCCGACATGCAAAGTACTATTCGGCCCCCCAGCACTGCCGGCGTCTCTCTCGCTCTTTTTACGCCAAAATATACCGCGGAGCACGACGCCCACCCGGGTAAAAAATCGATAGGCAAGAAAAGTTGAGTGGCCTGTGCAGTTCGCCGCCTCATGAATGGAGCGAACTTAGCTGTACAGAAACGGTCCCGCGACGATCAAATAATAAATTGCTTCAGCAGGAAATGACAATGGATAGAAATAAACTGTGGAAGTGAAGAGAGAGCAGGACTTGCGTGAGATGGATTGCACTTGTGAAAAGTTAAAAGTTAGAGGTATATTTCCCAAGGGATGAAGCAGGAAACTGAACAAAAAAGGCCAGATCTGAGCTAATCCTCTAAAATTTCAATTTTTCAAGAATTAGTAGGACCGCGGTTTAGTTTAGCTTTATAATCAATAAAATTATCTAATTATATCAAAATAATTACTGAAAAATAATATAGCAAGCTTTTTTCACTAGAATTAAATTCACATTACGCTTGGAAAAAAACATGTAAATAATCCAAATCAAAATGTTAAGATTTACACTGTTTATAGGGGAAAATTTTAGAGCTGGTTTTTGTTCTGAAAAAATTAAAATTTTACATTTCTAAATAGGTAAATTATTCAAAGTTTTAAGTTATTCTAAAACCTCGAGCATTTTTTACTCTAAATAGGTACATTACTTGGACTTTATCTGTAAATTTAGTTAAATTAATTACCCCTTTCTCTAATTAGCATAGTAAAGTTTTGCCAAATTAAAAAAGAAGTTATATCAAATTTAAGCAAAAATAAATAAAACATTGATTCAGAGGATTTTCTGTATTCGTAATTAAGCACCTCCCACTGGAATTTGTATAAAAATTTGAGAATTGAAAGAAAAAAAATTCATAGTCAGATCAGAAAACTTAATTTTATCCAAAAGTTATTTCCTTAAAAAAATTAGTCATTAATTTTGGATCTTTTTGAACGGTTTGTACAAAACAAATTATGAAAACTGAATTTCTCATAATGAATTATTGATGTTTTTCCTCCTTCCTGACGAGAAATAATTGGATTCTGTACCAATTTTCCTGGTGAATCAGTGAATCTCACTGCGGCTCGACTAGCAATAAGGAAACTTCTGCACAAATTCCACTTCGGCGAGCTCGCTCTCGCCGTCTCTTTAATAAACCGCAAATTCCGCACGCCCCATTCCATTCACAACATCCAAATTCCTGGCAGCCTTTTGACGAAAGGCAGAAATCTCGCAGGCCGCAGATGATAACAATATTACTCGCATATAAACTACTCGTTCTTATCGGCGTGGTGATTAATGATGCGCCCTCGCCGTCTCGGCGAAACGCGATTATCACCTATCGGCATAGCATTGCTCCAGACCGAATTTGGCTAATGCTGACAAATTGTGTGCAGCTGAACCATAAATCAAGAAAATATAGAAGCATTCAGAATAAGAAATTGGCTTACAAAAGAAAAAAAAATTGAAGAAAATCCGTGATTAAATTAAAATCTATTAAAGCATAAAATTATAGTAGAAAAAATACCGATTTACAACTTTTTCAATCTTTCAATTTGAATTATTTGCAACAATTTGGAGATCGAACAAATCCATTGAGTGCCTTCAAGGTTCATGAACACCAGCCGTGCAGATAAAGTGCCAAATAATCTGGCGAATTTCCTCCATCAAGCCGCTCGGCGATAAAAGCGCCCTGTCATTAAGGAATTCTGTCAGCAGGATCGGAGGCATGCAAATTTATTTATCGCAAATTAATTACGTCGCCATACGAGAGGCGCAGCGAATCATATCTTTCTGAGCGGGGAAGAAACGCCACGCCAGAGCTCGAGAATAAATTAAAACTAATGTCATTTCGGGCTCGCGTTTTCAGCTGTAAATCACGCTTTATGGCTGCACGAGCGTCGGGATTTGAATATTATAAATACGAACGTGTGGAGAAAGGGCGCACTGAACCAAAACTACGATTTCTAGTATTGATTTGAGCTATTTTCACGGTATTTCAAATGACTGTGTGTACCTGATGAGGATTTAATGATTGCTGTAAAAACTAGCGTTGAAACTGATATTTTGTAAACAAAAAAAATATACAACATATTGATTAATTAAAAGAAATTTTCTAAAAATTTCCATTTTTTGATATCTAGGGAGAAAATAGTTATATTTCTACTGAATTAATCTTTTTTTTTATTCAAATTATACCCTTTAAACTGAGTTTTTATTTGATCTAAAGCAAATTCTTTTAACATAAGATTTAAAAGTTTGTTGGCTTTATTATTGATGTTAAGTTTTTTAATAAGAAGGGAAAAGTCCCATCAAAACTTTTAATGACTTTCTATAAAAAAAAATTAATTTATTTAATCTTCTCATTTCACGTCACTAAATCATAGTTTGTCTTTCGAATAAAATAAAATCAAAACTTTAAGTATTTTATTATATTTCCATGTTAAGCTTGAGAATTCCAACAATTTCCACTATGATTTTTAAATGATAATATTTTACTTAAATTATATAATCTAACCAGTTTTTCTATAAATTTTTTTGTAAATTTAACCCCTATTTCATATTATTTGAGGAAATAAATATAATTTCATGAAAATAATTTAAATCCGATTTTCTTCATCATTCATAAAAGGATTTAAATTAATAAAAAAATTGACGTTTCCTTAAATATTTTAAAAATTAAAAAGATATCGCACAAAATTGAACATTTCGGAATATTGAAAGCTTCTGCACCCCTCGGAAGGATAAAAAAACACAGGTTACGAAATTCAAAGTGACCAAAATAACAACTGGTCATGAGGGAGGCCAAAATGGACTGCCCGAAATAGCAACGCACTAAACTCGTATCAGCGGCCGAGCGATAAGAAGCGAGCAAGATCGATGCCCTTCGCGCGAGAGCCAAAATGGCGTCTTTCGGAGGGCCAAAGGAAAGGGCAGGTTACCTTGAGGAGGGCGCGAGGGTGGCGCTCAGGTCGACGGCCTGGCTGCAACTGGCCGGGCCCACTCTACGAGCTACTCCACGTGGCCTGGCGTGCCCTGCCTGCTCCCTCCGACGCACTCTTCTTTTTATCGATCGAGTGCGTGGACGGATTGTGCGTCTCTCTTGTGTACGCAACTTTACAAACTCGGCTGCTCGATAAAATGCGTACTACTCCATTGTCAATGTGCGGCGGCCCCCCAGGCGCCAGTGCGCGTTCTCAAACATATTTGCTCCAAAGAGCCGGCCGGCGACGATTCGTCGCCCTGATAAGGTGCGACCTGAGCTCAGGAATTTTTGCGACGACGCAAAGATTTTTTTCTGCCTCTCACAGAGACTCGCTAAACCCAAAAGGCAGAGCCAGAAATTTCAAGACATTTAAAAAAAATAATTTGTAGGATTTAATAAATAAATAAAAAAGCATAAAAAAAAGAAAATTAGATTACAGATGCTTAATTTTTCAACTGACCAGAACTTTAAATTAATTATATTATAAATTCTTTACCATCATATTTCAATCAGCTTTCAGTGTTTGGTTTAGTTTAAAAATTTCATTATCGACCAAATTTTTTTTCAAAAATGTTTTGTTCTTTATAAATGATAAAATTAGGTGATTTACGTGATTTATTGTAAAAATTTGGATTACTTTTTATCAACTTCTTGTAAAATAATAAAAGAATTGAATTGCATATGATATGATTTTTGCCAAAAAAAATTAATGTTTTAATTAATTATGAAATAAATTTTAATTTTAAGGAAAATTTTCCCATAATTTTCTTTTGCCAAGATAACTGGGGTGAAGTTGATCTGATACAATTTTCCAAAAATTTAGTCGGGCAGATTTTGAGCAAAAACATTTATTTAAAAAAATTATCCTTAATTCTCAAACCCAATAAAAAGTTCTTAATCCAATGCTAGTTTTTGAAAATTCAGTTTTTGTGGTTAATTGTCAAAGAAATGACCTTAACAAATATTGAAAAAAATATAAAAATGCTCACCCAATTTTTGGCTGATGAAACTGATGAAAGCTTGTTCATTGAACAGAATATTTTATGACCAAAAAAACAAATTATTGTATTTACTTGGAAAATTCCCAGTGCAATTGTTCCAAGAAACAGCACCAAATTTCCTTCTGACTCATGTGATTTCGCATATATTGCTCGTGAGACACGAAAGTAAACATTATTTTTTCCTTTCGTCCTGTACATCGCAAAGCTAATTGCAAGTCGAGTGTGTACACATTGAAGGTGGAATGCCGCAGCTGCTGAGGCATTTATCCTTGTCGGTTCAATGCACCTTGCTCGTCTCATTATTATATTATTTGCCATTACCGGCACGTCGCCCTGCCAAGGCCTACGCAACTTATGCAGATCGTTTGCACACAAAGGGGATCAATTATACGCAAAAGCAATGCTGCGCTCATTCCGAAACTCGGTGGGTGCGGTTTGTGCTCGATCGAGTGAGTAGCGCATAAGCTCACGACTTTGTTCCAAACTGACGGTCGCACCGTGGTTTTGAATTTCTTCCTACCGTGCAACTCCTTCTTGTGGCTGCCAATAACATGTGTATCGATTTGAAGAACCGCCGGAGTGTGCAGAATCAAGAGAAATTCAAAATTGCAATTCAATCACTGCAAAATCATAATGAAAAGAAAAACTATATATTGATATTAAAAAAAAATTTAAATAAGAAAAAAGCAACTAACAGCAATAATTAAAACATTTATTAGTTTTTTTTTATGCCTATTTAACGCTACTTTTGCCAAATTTTTTATTTAAACATTAATTATAGTAGTAAATTAAAAATCCTCAATA